GAAGCATCATGACATTTTATTGACCCGGGCATTTTAAAAACTACACTTTTCAATTAGTTTTTTTTAAGACATTATTTACAAATAGTAAAATGTACCTGTCGCCTGGTTTGAAAATGAAAACCCTCTTTACAGTGTATACTGGTGATATTTATACTACCTTTATACTCTACTTTTAAGAGGCTAAATTTTTTTTAAAGATTGTATTTATTCATTCATGAGAGACAGAAACAGAGAGAGAGAGAGAGAGAGAGAGAGAGGCAGAGACACAGGCAGAGATAGAAGCAGGCTCCAGGGAGCACAATGTGAGACTCAATCCTGGGACCCCAGGATCATGCCCTGGGCTGAAGGCAGGTGCTCAACTACTGAGCCACCCAGGGATCCCTGAGGATAAATATTTTTGTAACTTGATTTGATAAAATTTTACATTTACAGAAAAGTTGTGAAAATAAGGGACTCCTTTGTACGTTTTACCCATGTTCACCAATTGTTCACACTCTTCCTTGTCCACTGTACCATTCTGTGTATCTCTCTGTGTGTGTGCAGTATTTTTGAGCCATATGAGAGTAAGATGGAGACATCATGTCCATAGACACATAAATATTTCAGTGTATGTTTTCTAAGAATAAGGAGATTCATAGGTAACCACAGTACAATTATCAAAATCAGGGAATTAATAGGTGCCCAGCTGGCTCAGTCAGTAGAGCATGCAACTCTTAAACTCAGGGTCATGAGTGCGAGCCCCACGTTGGGTGTAGAGATGGTTTAAAAATAAAATCTTTAAAAACAAGGGGCGCCTGAGTGGCTCAGTCTCCGACGTTTAGCTCAAGTGCTGATTTCCGGGTCGTGAGTTCGAGCCCTGTGTCGGGTTCTGCGCTGAGTGCACAGTCTGCTTGAGATTCTCTCCCTCTCCCTGTACCCCTCCTCCTGCTCACATGCACTCGTGGTCTCATGGGCGTGCAAGCTCACTCAAGTAAACAAGCACAGTCTTTAAAAAAATAAATAAATCAGGGAATTGACATTAATACAGTAGTATCCTCCAATCCACAGTACATGTTAAATTTTGTGAATTGTCAGAACAACACATCTTCCTGCCCTTTGCTCAGTCCAGACTCATGCGCTGTATTTAGTCGTCAAGTCTCTTTTTTTTTTTTTAATTATTTATTTATGATAGTCACAGAGAGAGAGAGAGAGGCAGAGACACAGGCAGAGGGAGAAGCAGGCTCCATGCACCGGGAGCCCAATGTGGGATTCGATCCCGGGTCTCCAGGATCGTGCCCTGGGCCAAATGCAGGCACCAAACCGCTGCGCCACCCAGGGATCCCCAAGTCTCTTTCTTTTTTTTTTTTAAGTCTCTTTCTTTAATCCAGAACCGTTCATCAGCTTTTCTTCTTGCTCTTGACATTTTTGATGAGGACAAACCAGTTGCTTTGTAGAGTGTTCCTCAGTTGGGTTTGCCTGTGGTTTCCTCACGATTCATGATTAAATTTAGGTTTTGCAGTTTGGGCAGAGATGTATCTTTCTGATGCATGGATGTCCACGTGTCTTCACAGTAGTGCAGTGAACTTCGCTCACTTGGTGTAAGGGCTGCTGGCTTAGTGTCTCCAGTATACATTTATTATTTTTCTTTGTAATTAATAAATAAATTATGGGGGAGATGCTTTTGACACCGTACATATCCTGTTCCTCATCAAGCCATTGTGATTTTTAGCATCCGGTGGCAATTTCCAGAATTCATTATTTTTCATGACTTGACGTCATTATGAGGAAGAACTTTCCCTTCCTCCCAAGCTATTTGTTCATTTATTTCTATCATTATGGACTCATGGGGTCTCACTTTATTAAATTGATTATAATCCATGATTGTCAACATTTGTTTCTCAGATTATCCAGGTACGTCTGTTAGGAGCTCTTCCAAGCTGGCACCTGTTTTCTTCTGACATACCCACTCCATAAGGACAAGGTAGTCCAGACTCTTCCAGTATTTTCTTTACCCCAGCCTTGGAATCCTGCCATTTCTCCAGGGAGCCCTGGTTCCTTTTAGGGGAGAGTTGTGCCCATTTCTGTCCATGTGTCACTGTTCCGCAGAGCCAGGAAATAGGTGTGTGGGTGCATGTATGTGACCTTGAGTTTGTACTGATAACTAAAGTCCCAGACCTAGGGTTTTGTCTGGCCTTAGCCCATCCCAGTTTGTAACTCCCTTATCTAGCAGTGAGAAACCTGGCTTTGGGGATTTAATTGCTAAAGAGCAGTATTTATTATCCGTGATATCTACTTGGCTCCTGTGTGTTGATGAGTGGAAATCCTCTGTGATCCCCGAGAGGCGGAGTATGAGTGCCCTCTGGTCTCTCGGCGTGTCCTTTTTCCTTACCTTCTACCTGTTCTGCTGTCTACACCTCTGGAAGTGATCATGACCCAGAGTACAGTTTTTCTTGTCCTAATAATTATGAAACAGTTTTATCCATAAGGATAAATTTTCAGTTAGGGAGCTGAGTTTAATGTTCCATACATTTTCAAAACCCCTAAATTAACTTTTTTTTTTTTTTTTTAAGTGGGTGGCTCTGGGCGCCTGGGTGGCTCAGATGGTTTAGTGTCTGCCTTTGGCTCAGGTCATGATCCCAGAGTCCCAGGATCGAGCCCCACATTGGGCTCCCTGCTCGGCAGGAAGTCTCCTTCTCCCTATGACCTTCCCCCATCTCGTGCTCTCTCTCTCTCACTCTTTCTCTCCCAAATAAATAAATAGAATCATTAAGTGGGTGGCCCTGACTGATCATTTGTATGGGTCAGTGACTTTCAATTAGAAGAAAGGCTTCCCCAGGTTTTTACTATAGAGCATCCTCTGTTCTCTTCTAAGCTGCTTCCCTAGGTCACTGTGTAATCATGAGAAAGTCACTCGATCTCTCTGGGCCTCATTGTAAGACGGCTGTAATGATCCCTTCCTGCCACACTACACATGTGAGGTCATGCGTGCACCGTGTTATTTTGGAGAAAAGTGGGACAGCCCACTAAATAATATTTCACGATATAATCAACTATGTAACAAAGTATGACCAGGTGAATCATTTTGCCATTTAAAATGGACATACATCAATATCACACGACAGACTCTTTTTATTTATTTTATTTTATTATTATTTTTTAGATCTCATTTATTTATTCATGAGAGACAGAGAGAGAAGCAGGTTTCATGCAGGGAGCCTGATGTGGGACTCGATCCTGGGACTCCAGGATCATGCCCTGGGCCAAAGGCAGACGCTCAACCACTGAGCCACCCAGGCGTCCCGACAGACTCTTTTTAGCACAGAAATAAAGACTTCACTTCCTCTTCACTCTATGGTGGACTTTGTGCACAAAATTCAAGTTCCACTTGTTTTACCAGGAAAAGTCCTCCTGTCCAGGGGTATAAGGTAATTACAGATCTTTCCTTGATCCCTTCTTCCTTTTTTTTTTGTTTTAAGATTTTATTTATTGATTCACGAGAGACACAGAGAGGCAGAGACACAGGCAGAGGGAGAAGCAGGCTCCACGCAGGGACCTCGATGTGGGACTGGATCCCAGGACCCCAGGATCACACCCTAAGCCAAAGGCAGATGCTCAACCACTGAGCCGCCCAGGCGTCCCACCTTGATCCCTTAAAGACCAGGAGATAGAGCCATAGAAGGTGAACGTTAGAACATGTCGGTCAGTAGCCACATCCTTCCAGGTTTCTTGACTCCACTCCATGGGCCCCAGAAACCAGTCATAAAGCTGCTTTTTGGGCTGAACCCAAGCCTTGTTCAGTCAAGGTGGGGGGGTCTTGGGGGATTTCTTTTACCTTACCAGAATCTCTGTAAGACTTGCGGTGGCCTCTCAACCTCCAGCCTCACCCCCTTACCCCAGGTTTTTTTTTTTTTTTTTTTAAGATTTAATTCTTAAGTATCTCTATACCTAACATGGGGCTCAAACTCACAACCCCGAGGAGGGCCCTGGCTGACTCAGTAGAGCATGCGACTCTTGATCTTGGGGTCATGGGTTCGAGCTCCACATTGGGTATAGAGATTACTTAAAGTTAAAATCTTGCGGGGATCCCTGGGTGGCTCAGCGGTTTGGCGCCTGCCTTTGGCCCAGGGTGCGATCCTGGAGTCCCGGGATCGAGTCCCGCATCGGGCTCCCGGCATGGAGCCTGCTTCTCCCTCTGCCTCTCTCTCTCTATCATAAATAAAAATAAATCTTTAAAAAAATAAAATAAAATAAAATAAAATAAAATAAAATAAAATAAAATCTTGGGGTACCTGGGTGGCTCAGCAGTTGACTGTCTGCCTTCGGCTCAGGTCATGACCCCGGGGTCCTGGGATCGAGTCCCACAGCGGGCTCACTGTAGGGAGCCTGCTTCTCCTTCTGCTATGTCTCTGCCTCCCTCTCTGCGTCACTCATGAGTAAGAAAATTTAAAAAATCTTTAAAATGAAATAAAATCTTAAAAAAACAAACAACTCTGAGTTCAAGAGTTGCATATTCTACCGATGAAGCCAGCCAGGTGCCTCCTGAACCCCCAGAAGTTTTAACACTGTTTTGCACCCATTGTTCATAAATTCTCAGCAGCTCCCCAGTAATGCACAGGGTCTCAGTCCAAATTTCTTTGCTTAGCATTCAAGACCCTCCACCAACCAGCTCCTACCTCGGCCTCCTCTGCCCACTGCCCTCTCCAGAGTAAGTTAAAGGCTAAGGGCCTGAGCTCTGGAGCCACACTTTGGGGGTGGTGGGGGTGGTGGTGAGGGTTTGAATTCCAGTTTGGACACTTACTCGCTGTGGGGTCCTGGAAGTTACTTACTCTGTCCGTGCCTTGCTTTCCTCATCTGTAAACGGGAACGGTGATGATTCCTTCAAAAGGTTACTAGGAGAATAAATTCATCAACATATGACTTCGTTACTCTAGGAGAAGCCTTTTGCCTGGTCCCTGGCCTACAGTCATGTTGGGTTATATCATAATTTCCCCCCTTTATTCTCCACACAGCAGCCTGTTTATAACAGAAATTGGATTATGTCAGTCACCTGCTCAAAACCTTCCGGTGGCCTTTCATCCCATTTGGAGAAAAAGCCAGTCAATCCAGTGGACTCCAAAGACCCTGCAAGGTGTGGCCCTCCCGGTACCTGCCTGACCTTGACTCTTACCACCCTCTCCCTGGTTCCTCTGCTCCAGTCGTTCTGTCCTCGCTGTGCCTGACCACACTGGCAGGCTTCCACCTCGGGGCCTTGTACTTGCTGTCCTCGGCTGGTGGTCTCTGACCGCTCTTCGCCCAGGTACCCACAGAGCTCATGCCCTAGTCTCCTTCCAGTCTCTACCCGATGTCTCGTGCTCAGCGAGATCTTCCCTGACCACTCTGGTCTTTCTGACCCTACACATACACCCTAACCCACCTCTCTGCTTTATTTTTCTCTCCAGCATTTCCCACAACCTCGGCACCTACATGGTTGGTTGGCCATCTGTCTCTTCTCGCTGGGATGTACGCTCCCTGAGGGCAGGGATTGGGGTTTGTTTCACTGCTGTATCCTTAGCCAGCACGCGGTGGGCACTCGATAAATATTTGCTGAGTAAGTGAATAGTAGTCTATTAACTCTATTGCCATAAAACTCATTATTTATTCCTGAGACACGTTTCCCTAGGGGTGACATTTTCAGTCACCCACGTTTCATCTCCACATGTACCCATTTGGTGGTGACTGTCTAGAGGAGCGATGTGAAGGATTCTGGGGCTGTATCTGGGCCAAGCCCAGGGGTGTTAACATTACTATCATCTGCTGTAGTGCTGTGGAGGCCTGGGGGCCACACGTTTGCCAAATACAAACTTCCTTTCCTGGCTTTTTCTTTCTTAGTATGGACTGCTTTCCTGACTTGCACAAGCCCCCCCCCCCCTTTTTTAAGATTTATTTATGTATGTATGTATTTATTTATTTATTTATCTATCTATTTATTTATTTATGATAGAGAGAGGCAGAGACACAGGAGGAGGGAGAAGCAGGCTCCATGCTGGGAGCCTGACGCGGGACTCGATCCTGAGACTCGATCCCGGGACTCCAGGATTGCGCCCTGGGCCAAAGGCAGGTGCCAAACCGCTGAGCCACCCAGGGATTCCCCCACCCCCCTTTTTCTTTAGTGATTTTATGTACTTATTTGAGAGAGCATGAGCAGGGGGAGTGGCAGAGGGAGAGAGAGAAGCAGGCTCTCCTCTGAGCAGAGAGCTAGATGTGGGGCTCCATCCAGGACCCTGAGATCATGACCTGAGCCACAGGCAGACGCTTCACCAACTGAGCCACCCAAGCGCTCCTGACTGGCTCAAGTCTTGCTCACATCTCCAGCCCCTGTTCAAATCCTGCCTCCTCCATCGAGCCTTTCTTAGGCATGTCAGCCCCCTGGGACTTTGCTACTTCTCATTGTCTGTGTGTCTGTCCTTTCCCCTTACCGGGCAGGCCTTGTGCCTTCTTCTGTCCCTGTACCTCCCGCTGTGCTGGACACTTAAAGGAAGTGGTTAAAGAAAGACATTTTAATCACACTTTTTGGGGAGGTAAATGATAAACGTCTGCAAACTAGCTTAAGATTGTAAAATACTCAGGACGCCTGGGCGGCTCAGTGGTTGAGCATCTGCCTTTGGCTTAGGTCATGATCCTAGAGACCCGGGATCGAGTCCCACCTTGGGCTTCCCACAGGGAGCCTGCTTCTCTCTCTGCCTGTGTCTCTGCCTCTCTCTCTCTGTATCTCTCATGAATAAATAAATAAAATCATTAAAAAAAAAAGATTGCGAGAAACTCAGAGATTCCAAGGACAGGTGCGTGTCAAGGATGTACAGGGCAAGACCCAAGCCCTCGTCAGCTTCTTCAGGAGCCAGACATCTCTAGAATTACACTCAGACCATGATTGTGCCGCCCAGTGTGGCCCCAGTGCAGATTCCTCCAGAGAGCATCTGATGGGTGCAGCCTGGCTCACCGCCCACTGGGGTCTGGCCTGCCTGAGCGGGAGGGCGGGTTCCACGAGGACACTCACTGCCAGATGGCCCTGTCTGTTTGCAGATGTAGCAGGAGGCCGTGTCCCCAGGAGAGGGGCTGCACAGAGACCCCCCCAGATGATATGCTTCTGTGCCTTTTTCTCCCTGAGTTCCCATGTTCCTAAAAAGGGTACTTTTCAATGAATTTATCTGGAGTACAGAAACCTTAAGAAAGAAGGTGGTTCTTGTTCTGTAGGATGGTAAATCTATGCCCAGAAGGACCAACTCTTGAGGAGGGAGAGAAGCTCTCCTCTCTGTGGGCTTGCGTGGACATGGGAGCTGAGAAATGGAAGAAATGATGTGAGAAAACAATGGGCAAATGACGGTGTCCAGGAAATGACTTCCCTGGTGTGACCCGCCCTGCTCACTGTGTTCACCGTGAGCAGCAGGGTGACGCACACGTGCCCCTTTCCTGACAGCCCCGCTCGGGCGCTGCCACAGGGGAGGGGGGAGAAAGCAAACAGGTGCGGGGCAAGGGGGTGGCTGGGCACAGCCCCCAGCACCCCACCCCTGGCAACATCAGGGCGTCCACAGTCAGAGCAGAGGTACAGCTGGGACCACCTTGCGAGGCTGCCTGCCTGGGTGCGGGAGGGACAGCCACTGGGCTCGGGTGGACCTGGGCTGAAATTTCTCACAAATTTCCAGAATTCGGTTCTCGTCTCTGACCGTCTTCTCGCCCTCATCTCCCCCCCCATTCTTAGCACTTGGTCACTCTTTCTGATGCTTGGCCTCCCGCCCCCGCCAACAAAAGGGTATTGCTTTTTTTTTTTTTTTTTTAGATTTTATTTATTCATGAAAGACACACACAGAGAGAGAGAGAGAGAGAGGCAGAGACACAGGCAGAGGGAGAAGCAGGCTCCATGCAGGGAGCCCGACGTGGGACTCGATTCCAGGTCCCCAGGATCAGGCCCTGGGCTGAAGACAGGCTCTAAACCGCTGAGCCACCCGGGTTGCCCCCAAAAGGGTATTTCAAATTTGTCTGTGGGGCCCCGGGCCCTCCCCTGGGGCCTCCCCTGGGGGCTCTCCGGTCCAGCCAGCGCCATCCCTCTGCAGACGCTGGAGAGCATCACCACCTTCTCCTCCCGCTTTCTCTGAGCCCAAGGTGGGGGCCAGAGCCTTCCTGAGGCTCCAGAGGCAGGAGGAGGGGGAGGAGGAGGAGGAGGAGGCCGAGGCCAGAGGACACAGCCCAGGGGGCGGGCTCAGAGTCAGAATATCTGATTCTGCTCCTGCACCTGCTCCCACGCTGCGCAGACTCGGGCAAATCCCTTCGTCCAGGGCCCAGGGTCACAGCAGCCGCTCCGCTTCCTGAGAGCGGGTCTTGCCGGTCCGCGCTGCTCCGCGTGCGTGGCTGTGGCTCTCGGTGAGCCTGCCGTTGGCTGCTCTTAAAATTCGTCTCTCACAGATGAAGAAACAGGCTCAGGAAGTGCAGGAGTTGAGAAAGGGGAGGAGGAAGCCTGTGCCAAAAGCCTAGGGGTGGCCCAGGGACCCCGACCCCCGCCTTCCCTCTGCTACGTAGGAACCTTCCTGAGATGGTTTCAACCTGGGGAGCGCGGGGTGTTTTCCAGAAACGGTGCCAAGCACTTTGCACCCATTTACTCCTGGAATCCTGACTCATCACCTCCCTACCTTCCATGTCCCCTCTGAGCCGCCTCCTGGGGCTCCCTCGTCCCACCGCCCCCTCTGGCTTACTTAGTTCTTCACAGCACTTGATGATGGGAAACCCATTCACCTGCTCATGCGGGCTCTGCTCCGAGTCCCAGGACGCTCGCCTCTCAGGGGCTGGGACCTTACGGGTCGGGTCCCCTGCTGTGTCCTCACACTCTGTGCCTTCTGGCGCACCGTAGGCACCATGAGTATTTGTTAAGTAAGTGAATGAGTCCTGACCAGCAACTCTGTGGGGTGCCATGACCAGGTACGCTTGGCAGGGGAGGAACCCGGGGCCCAGGCAGGAAACAGCTTGAACGGAGTCACGGAGTCAGCCGGTGATGGAGCGAGGATTCAGACCCAAGCAGGAAGGCTCCAGAACCTTCTGTGATGAGTCCTAGCAGCCCCTCCCAGCTGCAGACGCGGAAGCGTGGAGATGCTTGGTCTTTATCTCATAGGAGAGGGAGGGACCGAGCATCTCCCGGGCCGGTACCAGCCCCTGATTGAGTGGGCCGGACTGGGAAGGAAGGGCTTTTGCTTGTTTTCACTCTCCAGGAGAGTGCAGAGGTTTGCACCCCTGTCGAGGCCGGGCTGACGGGATTAGAGGAAACAGCTGGCCCGAGCCCGTGCCCTGCGGGAGGGAGCTCACATTCCCGGGACTCGGGGAGGGAGCAGCTCCCCACAGCCCAGCCACATTCCAGGTCGGTCATTTTCTTGAGCCCAGATGTTTGCTAATGAGCTGGGGAGAGAGGCTTTCAGGCCTCTACCCCAGCCCTGGGCCCCACATTACTCGGCCCCAAGAGGCTGGCCCGGGGCCAGGAGGCTCTGGCTTCAGGCCCGTGCCCTGTGCCAGCCAGGCCTGTCGGGGCAACTGGCGCGCTGCTGCCAACCAGGTGTGTCTGCGAGCTCGGGGACTCTGACGTGACAGGTTCTGCCTTTCTTGCAGGGGCCCCATCCCCCTGGCTCCCAGTGGGGTAGCATCCTCTTGGCAGCCTGATGGGGAGAGGCTCGGAGGCAGCCAACAGGGTGTGGTGGGCACAGGAGCCCAGGCTTTGGACTGGTCGGGTCTGGGTTCAGGTTTCAATTTGTCAGTCACTACTGGTAGGATCTGGGGCAGGTCGCTAAACTTTTCGAGGCCTCATTTTTCTCACCTCTAAAATGGGGATAATGTCGAGACCGTGGTAAGGATTTGATAGGATAAAGCAGGCATAGTGCTTGGCATAATACCTGGCACATGACGATAGCTGGTGGTATTATTGACAGGTCACCTTCCAGAACCCCTGGCCACACTGTGGTCATTCTGAGATGACCAGACTTCCCCAGGCAGGTGTGAACTCAACACTAAGCCCCGTGTCCTTGATGAGGTGTTTGGGATTGCTCTAGAACTTCCCTGTGTTTCAGAGTTGTGGCCGAACTGTCAAGGGCTACCACGCCCAGCTTTCTGTGTGAT